ATCCTCCCGCCTCAGCCTCCCAGAATGCTAGGATTATAGGCTCGAGCCACCGTGCCTGGCCATTAAATCTTTGATAAGGAGTAATAAGGCCTCTGAACTACCAGGCTTGCTTTTTGACTAGGTATCTTATTCCTTTGCTGAAGCTCTAAATGTTGGAAATTTCTACCCTATGATGAGCTGGAATCTGCACACGCACCCCACCCCAGCCCACACAGCTTCCGCCCACTGGTATAGTTTTTCTCTGCTCCTTTTATTATGCAATAGGTGTTAAAATGCTTGGAGAAAACCTCACCTGGGTCTTCTTTCCTTTTTATTTCAAGTATTTTCCATGGGCAGCAGCCTGATGTATTTATGTTGAAAAGAGCACGAAATTGAACATGCCAGAGTCAGGGTAGTACTGTAGGCTGGGCCGGCCTCCCACTAAAGAGAGGGACTTGGAGCAGATCATTTAACTTTTAAGCTCAGATTCCTTATCTCTAAATTGGAGATAATAATAGTACCTACTTCAGTTATACTGAGAGAATTCAGTGACACAGTCACATAAAATGCTTAGCACAGAGTCTGGCACAGAGTAAACCCCTACTGTCATAATTCAAGGAACCACCCAAGCAGAGAAGACAGACAGAATACTCAGAGTCCTCTTCACACATCCCTCAAACATGGAGGCAGATCTACCCCGAAATGCCCATTGGCCCTGGTGCCAAACTGTGAAGACAGACTAGCGTTGTTCTTATGGTTGTTGAATGACGTGTGTGTGTGTGTGTGTGTGTGTGTGTGTGTGTGTGTGTGTGTAGGGGAACAGAAAATGAGGATTTTTTTTTTTTTGGCATTACAAGATATTCTCTTCTAAAGCCATCAATAAAATTCTTTTCTAAGGAACAGAAAGGTCACTACTTCTTAGCTTTATGATACATTCCTAAAATTCCATCTGGTCAGGATCCCCAGTTACCTCCTCTGTGTTTTAGGGATACTGTTCGGGACATTGTCCTGGAGAAGTTTGCTGGGCCCTATGACAAAGGCGAGTACTCTCCCTCCGTCCAGAAGACCCTCTATGACATCCAGGTGCTCTCCCTGAGCCGCGTCCCCGAGGTATGGTTTGCTGGTTGCCATTCTGAGGATTGAGAGAATGTGTGTCCTCTGTCAACTCTGAGAAAGAGTTGAGAGTTAAAATAAGAAAGTGGAAGACACATGAAAAATGACATCTGTTGTTCAAAAGCTTGTTATAGCAAGTGAGAAGAGAGCAAAAAATGGAAAAATCTGTCCAACCTGAAACACAGGCCACTGCTGCAGTTCTTTAGTCTTGTTGAAAATTCTTTGAGTCCCTTCAACCTGCCAGTGATTTAAGCCTCATATTTAGGACACTTGAATGCCTTGAGGGAGAAGTAATTAGATGAAGGTTCTATGTTTCAGGGTAGCCAGAGAATGAAAGATAGATATAGGGAGATTCATCCATCCGTCTATCCACTCATTCATCCACCCACACACCCATCCATCCATTCATCCATTTATTTGATATTATTGAATGGTTGTTATGTCTCTGGCAGCACATGAAGAACACAAAGATAAATTAGATGTAAATGTCAAAGAGTTTATCATTTAGTAAAGGAAGAAAACAAGTAAGCTAACAATACAATAGAGAATAGAGTGTTACAGAAATACAGAGGAAAGCACCTAATTTAGGTATAGGGGATAGGGCTCCAAGCTCATCCAGGTTTTCTAGAGGGAAAGGTGTTTAAGTTAAGTCTTTAGGGACAAATAGAGGTTATCTGGGTTTACACTCAAGGGTGGGGGGAGCAGATAGGTATGGAAACAGGTGATAGCCTGACAACAGTCATTTACTGTTGAGGGTCTACCATATGTGAAGCTCTAGGAGAGAAAGTCTTTCCATATGCCTGGAGATGAGGCAGGAACCAGTCAAGAGGGCCTTTGTGGCTTGTTTATAGAGTCTGTACCTTATTCTGAAAGCTTTTGGCGGGGGGCTACTGAGTGATTTAATCAGGGTGTGGCATGATCAGATTTGTACTCTAGAAAGATCACTTTGATTGAATTATGATGAATTAACAGGATGGTGGACTGCAGGTAAGCAGACTGGTTGGGACACTATTGCAGAAACCTGCCAAGGATAACCTGGGCCAAGGTCATGGTGGGGATGAAGAGGAGGAGTGCCACCCTTAGACCCAGGCAGAGGGACTCCTGCCATAGCCCAGCACCTTAGAGGACCCCTTCAGGCCTTCCTCTGGCTATGCCTCCCTCCACTGGGTGAAGAGCCGTGGGGCCAAGGAAACGAACCTCTCAGGGGCCCATGCATCCCCCAGAATTTCCTTCTCCAAGACTTTCTGGAGATCTGTCCTCCTGAGAACAGATCGTGCTGTTGGTATGTACCCTCAGGTCTGAGCATGGGCAGAGGGGCCGCTGTTTGTAGGAGGTATGGATGGGAGGTGACCAGCAAGCTGGAGTGACTACCCCATGTGAGTCCAAGAGAGAAGATACCAGAGGCTGCAGGGGCTGCAGGCTGGCTCTTCTCATGCTGCCGTGTCCTGGCAGAGCCCTCAAGAAGTCAGAGAACTGTATATTAAAACCTGGCCTTCCACGCTGTTACAAAGTTATGTTTGTCAAGTTAGGAGACTAGAACATATTTCACTTAAATGGTTTTTAGCTTGATTTATAACTTTTAAATCTTTATACACCTGGTATATGGGTCTCCAATTATACTCTTACCCCAGGATCTATAAATGTTAGGGACAGGCCTGGAGAAGAAGGAATGGAATGAGGATTAGGAGGTGGACTGGCCAGTACCTGGAAGCCAGCTGGATGCCAAAAGGTGTCCCAGGTTTCCGATCCAAGGAGCCCTTTCTTTTCAGAGAAGCAGGTTTTGTGCACTGAAGAAAGAAGAGTGGGTCCACCATCGAATCATAGGACTAGCAGGAGAGAACAGAGTCAGGCAGGGCAGGAACATCAGAGGGTGTCTCCAAGACAGAGATGGAACCTGAGTAACGGGCAAGTGGGTGGTTGGGGCGAGGGTGACTGGAGTGACAGAGAGATAGACTCACAGTCGAGTCGCCCAGTGTGATACATGCTGTTGTGGATTCCAGATAGAAGACATGGAAATCAGCCTGCCAAACATTCACTACTTCAACATAGACATGTCCAAAATGGGACTGATCAACAAGGAAGAGGTAAGAGAACTTTCAAAATATTTAAAGCACATCTCTGCACCACCCCCTTAGGCCTCTTTATAAACTTGGGATGATAATATCCCTGACTAAAACTCTTAACAGCTGTTACTTTGGGGAATATTTATAGTTGCCACTGATTAGAGCCCTCCTAGACTCTGGGCCTTTCAATGCCTGAGGCTGGAGTGCACTAGAAGTGGATGAAGGATTACAGAGGGTTGCAGGTTGCAGAGGAAAAGACAAAGAAGGAACAGAGTGTGCCCAACGAAACAGCTCTGAGATCTACTTCTCTGAAAAGTGCCACACAAGGTCACAGCTTCATTATTCTTCCATCGTGAGGCAAGGAGGAGAAAAAAAAAGATTCTATTTTCATTTTCTTCCATCATCTCTACCTTTTGATTAAATAGTCAATTCAGTAGCATATAATACACACAAGAAAAGATGAAAGAGTATTTGTGTTTCTAATCGCAATTGTAGAAGGCAAGATGAGGAAATTCATTTTTTGAAAGGAAACCTTTGTCTTGGAAAAAGAGCACTTACCCTGACTCGTTTTTAGCCAGGGCAGAAGGTTAAACCACTCACTGTGTCTGACTCAACAGCCCAGAGTTCTGACTGGTAGCCTATTGTGATCAGTTCTTCGGAGATCAGAACTGTCCCTCCCTCTTGGACCACTTTCAAAATAATAGTATTTCTCAATTTGATCCATCCTCTCACAGGTTTCTAGAATTTGAAAAACAGCACTTTGGGTAACTTCTTTTAGTATGTGTAGGGGAGTGAGATAGGGAAGGGGCCATGTATAAGCATGGCTCTGCTCTCGTAGAATCACGTCCTTTGGTGGATAAAGGCTAATGAAGGGGTCTCCACAAGGTCCCACATTCTGGGCCTGCTGACCCAGGAGCCTCATGATCCCTCTGCCCAGGAACCTTGTTTTGGTTCTGCAAATGTTTCTGGACTCCACCAGGCTTTGCACCACCACTGGCTGCAGGTGGAGGCTGGTCGGGGGCGGGTGGTGGTGGTGTTGGGAACGAAAGGTTGTGCTTAGGTGCCTGGTATAGTCGTTCTAGGGTCCTGAGTTGCTGAGGAGAACAACCTGGTTCCCATGTGCTGCCCATTCAGCTGAAAGGAGAGGCAGCATTATTTACTTCAGAGGAAGGAAAGGATGGTGACTACCAGAATGCCATTAATTAGCATTAATTAATTAGAATATAAAGGCATTTTAAAGCCTTTTAAAGGGCAGGAGAGGGACCTGAAAGTAGTCCTGGCCATGTCGACTAGAGGCAAAACAAATCGGCCTTAAACAGAAAAAGGCTCAGGTGTCATGACTGCAGCAGTGCTTAGCTCAGAACGCCTGGCAGGAAGAGGAGGGTCTTCCTTAGGGCCCCTGATGCTTCAGGCCTACACTAATCCCAGCTCGAGCTGGTGGATTGAGGCCACAGTGTCCCTCCCTCTAAGAAGTCAGACTCACAGCTCCCTCCTGGAGTCCAGCTGGGGACCTGTAGGCAGGAAGGCTTGAATTCCTTTAGGTCAGGGCTCTCATAAAGGCACCTGAGTGGCTGAACAAGCTGTTCCTGTGTCTGTGTCTGCACTTTGTGGGTGGCTGGAGCTGCTCTTGGACTCTCACCGGCAGATGTGTACAAAGTGAATGTAACACATGAGAAGCAGGAAGTTGGACACATTGACAATAGCAGGGAAGTGACAAATGACAGAGTGGGAAGATGGAAGAACTCTAACACACAGCCGTCTGGAGCCATTTAACATTGAGCTAACAGCCCTGCGGGCCTCAGACGCTTCTAAGGGCATGGCGGTATTATAGCATAGGACAATGATTGATGTCCAAAGTGAGTCACCAGGGAAAGGTCAAATTTTGTTCACTACACTCTACTTAAAAAGCAGGGATATGTAATGCAATTTAGAAACATTTATATCTCAATGATTAAAATTTTTCAAAAACTCAAATTTTCTGGGAAATCAACTCATTTCTCAACTATTGCCAGAAAAATAAGGCATTACCATGCTTGCAGTAACTTTACTGTAGGGCACATGCATTTTTCTGTTTAACAAGTTGTTGTTTTTTCAATATTGATTCATTGAAGAAGAGAGCTATTTTAATGTTTCTGAAATTACCATGTGGGTTTTTCTATAGGTCTTGCTTCCATTAGACAATCCGTATGGCAGAATTACTGCCACAGTCAAGAGGAAGCTGTCTTCAAGGCTGTGACATTGTGGCCACCAATAGGAGTCTACTCTCATCTGAGGAATTCCTTAAAGACATTTTTGGTGCTGGAGATTATAGTGTGTAGCCATGCACATTTTCAACCTAGTGTATTCATTTATAGTGTTCACTTTCCTCCTGTATGAAATAATCTATTCCTTCTTCACCTAGCTCAGCAAGGCATTTTTTGGATTACCTTATTAGTAATTATAATATGCTTTTTGGCTATAGTTTATTTTAAAAATGCTGAGCAGTATTAGAACAGTCATAAATAAATATTTCTTTTTGGTTGTCTTGTGCCTTCCTGTCTTAGAGAAGCTTTAGAATCAATTCATTAATAAAATAATCATAATTAATGGGTGGGTCACATCAATTAATTTGTCACAAGTTTAAAAGCAAAATATTGTTTTCATCCTACTGATGTTTCTGGGTAATGCAGAAAATGTAATAAAATCATATTGAAAAATATCACCATTGTGACTTCAGTTAACTGACTATTTGAATTTTTTAGCTCAAGCATATGTACCATTGATAGTTTATTTCTACTCTGATAGCACTTTTGTGATTTAATGTGTTGATTTTATGACTTTTATAACACTTAGAGAATATTTAGTACATATTAGGGCACTGAAAAGAGTGTAAATTGCTTTTCTTTGAATAATGTATCCCTTATGTGCACAAAGAGCCACATTTAATAAATGTTGAGTCAATATACAGATGGATAAATATACATATAGAAACAAGACTAGAGCAAAGATGATTTCTGGATGATGGGATTATGAGTGATTTTTATTTTCCACCATGTACTTTCGTGAATCTTCTAAATATGAACATTCATTACTTTTATAATCGGAGAAATAAATATAACTGATGATTTAAGGATATATAGAGGTTTGAAGTGTGATTATATAAACTGATCAATTGAGTAACACTACCATTGTATATATACCATAAAGCTTCATAAATTACAATTTTAGAAACTTATGATGAAAACCTGTCCACATGAACATTCTAGATAACCTTCCATTTTTAAATGTTCATTTATTTTTTTAAATCTCCACTTTTTTAGAAATGCTTACATATAAGCCCTTAGTATGATTTGATAATGCTGCTTCATTCATCATTATAATATTGCTTCTTAAGGGAACATGGTGTAGTGGTTCATTGCACAAACTCATTGAAATCCTGGCTCCACCTCTCATTAGTTATATGAGTTTTTTCATCTGTAAAATGGAGGTGGAAATCTACCTCATAGGTCTTTCGAGGAGCAAATGGGTTAGTGTTTCTAAAGTGCTATGGTAGTATTTGTGCCTGACACCTAGGAATTTCTATGTGTTTGTCGAATGTAATAAATATCCTGCTTTCTTTTCATTTGTTATTAGACTCATGTAGAAAGTCATCATTGGCTTCTTTGGGACAGGTGGGATGGGAGGTCTTGAGAGCAGTGAGCCTCGCAGGGTGCTGGGGGTCACTCACAAGCTAGAGCTTTGGAAAGAACAGGAGAAAGAACAATGAAATATTTTGATAAAGAAAGTTTTGTGCTACATTGAATACTCACGTTACAAAATGTGCTTCTATATCATGTAACTTGCATGGCCTAATGACTGGTACATTTTATTCCTCTGCTAATTCGATAATTCTATTCCAAGAGGAAAGAGTCTAACATGACTTTTCCTAAAAACAACAAAAAACTTAATTAGGCCTTTCTTGTCAGGGGAGTGTGATAACCACTACACTGCAGAAACACAACGGCCTTTCTTACTTGATTTTCTCTGTTCATGTAAGTTTTAAAAACACTGTATTTGCTTCAGAGAAGAAACCCACGTTACAGCGGAATCCTTAGACAGAAATGCACTTTGCTTCTCCTGAGCTCTTAACACATTTACAGTAATGGACTGCAAATGAGTTATTGGATGTTATATCCCAGGTGTGTGGCAGGAAAGCCTGTATGTAGTCTGTGAAATTTTCAAGGCCCAGTTTGTTTTGTGAAGGATGTTTTCTTATGGTTAGAATTGTGAACTATGTGCTGAAAACCAGCTTTGTGTTTCACCTGCTCTTTTCAGAGCCGGCAGACGGGCAGGCAGACCTGAACTGTAAACACCTGTGAGGTCATTTGTGTTGAAACGCTTCGTGATTTTGCTACGAAGGCTATAGGGGTTCTGTTCCAATGTTCTGGGAAGCAGAGCTGCCTTCACAACCCTCTCTTCACAAGAGCCTAGCCCCATCTCAAGCACTCTCCTGGAGGAATAATGCAGGTGATTCCAAGCCCCTGTGCTTGGGGCAGTTTCCATGGTATTCAAAGGAGTAGGCTGTCATTTGGGGCTTGTGATTTTGGCAGCCAAGATTCTGGCTAAGGTTTGTTCCATATCCTCTAAATTTCATCTTATAACTTTCATAGCGACAGACTCAGAATATATATCCCATTCCGTTTCCTTTTTAGAGACAGACTTAAGTTCATATCATGCCTTATTTTTAGAAACTGATTTTTCTCCTTTTTTTCCTCCCTTGATATAGCAAAAGCCTTTTGAGACAGCATTTTACTTATTTGTCATTGAAACAGAATTTATCTTTTTCAATCACCGGCAGGTTTTAACCACAGACATTTGAAGTTTTTTCTCAGCTCTTTACACTTTGTCCAGAAAGAGATCTTCTTTTCCTTCTGACTTTGAGCTGTGTGGAGTTTGGCCATTGTAGTCTACGCTGTTAACTTCTGCTTCTTACCTGCCCTTCCGAGGAAGCCAGAGCTTGTGTCTAAGGACATGGATTTCAAGCCTCCTAACCAGACGTTCTTCCTGCATCCAAATACTTGGAACTTAATTTCTTTGTATTTTTCACAGTCTTTGTTAGCATTTCTCCAGAGCTCAGCTGCCACTCGTTCTTCCATTTGCACTGCTCCCTTTCAGAAACTCTTCAAGTTTTTTGGAGCCTATTGAGACTCTGTTGAGAATATGATGGCTACAGACCTTCTTCGCAGAAAAGTGCTCGTTCACGTCTCTACAGGTGCCTCAACCTCTACTAAGGAAGTAGGTTACACCCTATCCCTAAAGTATAAAGGATTCTAATAGAAATTTGCCACATGAGGAATATATTCAACTGATCTTAGAATGGTATACTGCTCACTTTTGCATGAGAAAGAGAAATAAGTGTATTTAGTTTGCTTAAGAAGTTTAGAGGGAGTCTATCCCAAGATTGAATTGGCAACTCAGTGACGGCATCAAGACTCAGGCTCATTCTGTCCTTTGCTCTGCGATTCTCAGTGTGTGGTAATGTTTTCCCTGCAGCCACAAAATGGAGATAAAGCTCCTGTCAAAGATGCTGTGGTGCATTACTCAGATGTCCCTTGGGGCCAAAGCATTCATTCCCCAGATGCCACAGGTGTTGGCCTCTGATGGCTCATAGTTGAGCCCTCTACAGGAATTGCCTTTGGCTGAGGGAAGCAGTCTCTCTCAAGTTTACACAGCTCCCTGGGAGCAGCTCACACCCAGTGTCTAGTCAATATGGGAGATATTAATACAAAGTCCTGACCCCTTTGCCTCAACTGGGACAGCTCTGCAGGGCCACTCTGGCTCCAGATCTCCTGACTGGCTGAGGCCTCTATTGCAACTGTTTAACTTTTCCTCTGCCCAAACCTATTTCCCTCACTCCACCCCCCTGACCCCCCAGTGAACCTCCTGCATGACAATCTCAGGGTCTCACTGTATTTTTCTTGGGGAAGCTGACTTGTGATAACAGGAGCAATTTGGGGAAGGAGTCTGTGCAACGGAATTCTGGAGCTGGGTCACCCACGGACTAGCTGGCAGTGAGCTCCTGGAGTGCCGTAGTTATGCAATTGTGAAAACTTTACCCAGAGGGAAATTGGGATGGGATACTGGAGAAAAGAAATACACTGGAAAGGGAAATATCTCTGATGCTTGAGAGGTTTTGGGGAAATAGTTATTAGTAAGACTATGGAATTTGGATGGGTGTTTCTGGGGACCATTAAAGCATCAAGAAAGACAATGGGAAGCTGAGGATGATTAATAACTAGTATAAAGCAAAGTGTGAAAGCCAGAGGGCCCCCCCTGGCAGCACATAAAGAGACTGTACATCCAGATGGCGGAAAAAGCTCAGGATAAAGCTCAGAATTTAATTATAAGAATTGCAGAGCTCCAAGGAAAATTGAATTCTCAGCCCTAACAGTTCTATCACACCAAGGTCAGGGTCCTGATTCATGCACTTGAGATCTTGAATCCTCAGCTTTCCCTGAACTCTCTGGGCCTGCAGAACTGGCCTCCTTCTCCCTGTTAAAAGCTAGCACTGCTCCTCTTGCTCGAAGACAATGCAGAGGCTTCTTCTCAAAGGAAACACATGCTCCCTTGGCATCTATCTCCACCTCCTGACCACCAGACCTAGAAAGAGGGTAAAGTCACATCATAAAACAGCCAGAGATATGCTGGGCTTGCTAAGGGAGGAGAGGGACCACAGGCCAAAACAGTAGCAAAGGCCCGACTAATAACATACAGGAGCTGGAAGATTATAAGTGGACGCTGGATAAAACCCATCAAATTTTTAAATCAAGAAGGAGGAAGAGAAGTAGTTTCCATTTCCATGGGATGAACATTTGCATACATTTATGATCTTGCCCCAAGACTACATTAACTCTTCTGGCCTTTGTATATAGGACCTGGACCACCTGGATATTCCACAGAACATCGCATTGGTCCATTGTATACATAATATCTTATGAATCAGACTGAATGATCAAGAAGTGACACTTGTACTCCAGAGAATAGTAGAGAAACCCATCAGGGGCTCATCACATTATTTAAGGTTTTAGGAGTCCAGTGGTCTAGGACAGGAATTGGCAAAGTCTGTCCTGCCACCCGTTTTTGTAAATAAAGTTTTATTGGGACAAACCATTCCCATTGCTTATGTATAATCTGTGGTTGCTTTCACATTATAATAGCAGAATTGGGTAGTTGCAACAGAAACTATTTGGTCCACAAAGCCTAAGATATATGATATCCAGCCCTTTACAGAAAAAGTTTGCTGATCCCTGGTCCGGGGTATTATAGTACATCCCTTCCAAAATAAAGGACAAATTAATGCATCTCAAACTTTCTATTACTAAGAAGAAAGCACACTGCCTCATAATTCTCTTCCAGTTTTGGAAGAATCATATTCCACACTTGAGAACTGCTCTAACCCACTTACTGGGTGACAAGGAAGGCTTCCAGCTTTGTGTGGGACCCAGAGCAGTAAAAGGCTTTACAGCAGGTCCAGACTGGGTACAAAAATTCCTTCTGCTTGAGCCATATGAATGAGCAGACTCTATGTTATTAGAGGTATCTCTGACTGAAAAAAATACTGTGTGGGGCTGCGAGTGAAAAAAAACACGGAAAAGTGTTTTTTAATTCTCTTAACATCAATAATCAACACAAAAGACTTCTGTGACCAAATGTGCAGGGATTTCTCCCCATCAACAAGCAATCCATCAATTCTGTAGCAGATATCAGCTGGGTGTCCTCTAATTCAGTTCTGTTCTGACACTATCTACCTGGAGATTGTGTCAGATTCCACAGGTTAAGGGCTCAGTCCCCAAGACTGC